TCTATATAAACTTTTATCGCTACTCTATAGCTAACTTATAACTATATATCTGTATAAACTCGTAAAATGTTAGAAAAAAACCTAAATAAAATTTACAAAATTAAGTAATAATTATAAAAGTTTTAAATTTTAACAGTAAAAAGAAGATAAACTTTTAATTGATAACTTTAACTTATCCATCATCAACAAGTTAAACAAATCCAACCCCTTTTTTTACTTTTCTCTCATTCTCATCTCATTCCAAAACTTTACAATAATTTGAGCGTATAATGAAAATCCTCATCCTCATCCTCATCTTTATCCTCATGAATAACTCCGAGTGATAATGATAATTCATGGCGTACCATATATGTAGAAGATAAAATCCGTCGATGTAATAATGAGTAATGATTAATGACAGACTTTGCCCACAAAATTGAAGATAATATGAACAGTCATCAGTGATCTGGTGAACAAATATCCGGTGTAGAATCCTCCGATTTGCTTATTTGAACAGCAATGTGCTGGTGCGGTGAATTTTCGACTTCTCGGGCTAGTAGTGTAAAGACATCGACATTAATTTTCCCGCTTACCACCTACTTGGTATCTTCAGCCGTACGAATAACGGCAGAGAAGAATAAGGGTGTGTAGGATGACCCCGTTGCCGTAATCCCGTAGTATAATCCCGGCAATATCTTTTCCTTACCCCCACGGGTCCGTCCGGACCACGATGTGACCTACCAAACGGTTTTACCTGGGTCAACCCTCCTAGGGGCATTACATTACAGTGAAATTCCATTTATCATGGCAAAGCTTGAAAACAGGTGGAACGGAAAAACTCCGCCGAACATCTAAATTATACGAGCTACTACTTGCTATAGGGATAAAACTGCACTAGGAGGACACTAGACAATCCTCGCCGCATTTTTATGTCTCCCCAAACATATTATGTATCCAACATTCACTTTTTGTAAGATCATTTTTAATCTAGCAATAAAATAACATAATATTGTGTTTTATTTTTCTTTTATATCTTCTGTTTTGACATTCAGCTTTACGGATAAAAATGATAATAATAATAATAACGTATGTTTTTTTTCATTTGATTCGATATGAAAATAGAAAATGCAAACTTGTTTCAATAAAAAACTTTAGCATTTTGACGTTTGGCTTAAATTTTTATATGTAAATTGGAAAGTCGCCAATCCTTAATTCTCTAGTCCAAGTACATATAACATGTAAGTTTATATTTTATTAAATTTTTTAAATAAAATACTTGTAAGTTTTATGAATTTTCGGGTGCCAAGACAAATATTGAATCGATATACATATAGATATAGATATATATATATATATATTATATATATATATATACTAGAAAAATTTACAATTCTCGTTGTAATGTTAATGATTGTAGGTGTAAAAAATGTTTTTTACTGTGCTTAGTTTTATAAAATATCAACAATTATTTTTAATTATTTAGTTTAATTACCAATACAATAAATACTTTATCAAAGCAACAAGAACATTTTTTTTAAGTTTCAAATCTAAGTTTCAGTTAAAATATTTGAGTGAACAATGAAAAAGAATATTTGTTCTTATTAAAATTTATAAAAAATTGTAAGAAAATTTGATTGGAGTAATCAAATAAAACAAAACAAAACATTGTTTTCCTATGATTTTTTTTATCAAAAGTTGAATTTTATTTGAAACAAATTTTTATTAATTTTATTGTATCTTCCATTTTTTAGATAGAATTCAGATAAAAGACTTCGAAATTTATAATCGTGCTTACTTTAGAATATTTTATAAACAACACACAGTGCAAAATAAGTCTTAATATGTTCCAAAAGAACAATTTCGTAGTTCAAGAACTTTCATATGGTTTAACTCATGTTCAAAATCATGTTCTGAGTTCAAAATTTTTCTTTTAAATCAATTTAATTTTTCAAACAAGTATATAAAGAACAGAAGTAAGAATATTTTTTTAGACTAAATTAAAATTTGTCTCAATACTACGTTGATAAAAATCGTTTTAAAAAATTTCTTTATCTTAAATCAAACAGAAAAATTCTCGAGCTAAGATTCTCTTCAAAAAGGTTTTCTTCGGTCAAAATTTTCTCTCTTAAATTAAACTAATTTTTCTATCAATACATTGGATATTCAATTATAATTCTTCTACAGAAGAAAACTAAGAGAGCTATCAATGATAGCCTATCATCATTCTGAAAATTTGTCACAGTATAAGATAATTGAATAAATCAAAGTATCTTTTCTTATCCATTAAATAGTTTTTCTTACAGCTTTTATTCTCGGGTAAATAGTGCAGAATAAGTATGTGATGAGAAATTTGATCGTTTAACGTCAACGGCAGATGTAATTATTCAGCCGCTAAAATTCAAGAAGCTCATAAAATTTTTTCCAGCTCTAGTGAGTGCACAGACGCTATATAATATCCCTATAAAAAATCCCTTATGCATGGAAAGTGCGGCAGTAAAAGACAAAAAAATGAGGAATAGTGAAAAAAGAAAAATATATAAGGATAATAATAAGTGAATAATTCCTCTTGGTGTCAATTTCAATGGAGAATCGATGGTTGGCTATCAGATTTACATTCAAAATGACCATCGGTATATTATGTTTATATATCTATATCAAAAGCATGGACAGTCTTTCCCGAGTGGCGAGTGGACAAAATCTTGACGTCCCGTCGGTTTTCCACTGGACCGATACATCGATCACGTGCACGCCTAATAGCAGCACGTGTTGGTGATTACGCTCGAGGGACTGTGGGCAGATCGGGTCTAGGTAATTGGCCAAGCATCCCCAGTCGACCAAGCGAAGCAACTACCCTTGATATGGCCATCACAGGATATCCCATGTCCTATCCACTCACACACACGAACACTTATTTACTCACCCACACTCTCTCAGTCTCTCGTTTGCCATATCCCGAGAACCCTTTAGCAGCATCGTAGCCTGACGGGTGAACATTGCGCTGCATACTCTGGTTCTACTATAGGCGATTGATTGGTTATCATGCTTGATTCGCTTCCGGTTTAGTCTTGATTATCTACCTACCTATCTATCTATTTATTCATTTGCACTGTCGGCAGCTTTAGCCACCGGCACATTCAACTTTCATTCTACACGCTTTACGGCTGCTGAAAATTAATTTTCCAACTCACTTTTATTTATTACCTACCAGTTTACCAATCTATAAATTTCGAGAATGGGTTGATAAATTTTATTAAAAATTTATTTATAAACGGATAAAATGAGATATTTCTGAAAATCATTTTAAATTATTTCACGGTTATAGGCCTAAAAAATTTTCTTTATAAATTTGAATCAATTTGGTTCCAACAAATTTTTCAATACTGCAAATATAAAAAAAAAAAGTTTTTCAACTAACTCTACTCTACTTCAACTATTAATATCATAATTTATTGAATTTTACTCTAGATAAAAAATAGCATTGGATACGACAAATCGGATTCAATCAGCTAATCCGTACGAGAGGTATCGCAGCTGCAAAATTAAAAAAAAATGTTTCTGTTAATTAATTCTATAATGTTAAATCTAAAGTCCCAATCTTAAGTTCAAGCCAAATATATCTTCCTTAATATTATTATTATTATATTGCTTTACTTGTACACCTCTCGGTTTTTTACAAGGCTGATTACTCTTTTTTCTACTAGCTCTACGCTTTTTCTATTTCTCATACTGGACCTCAGCATGTCCCACCCGACACTTCATTTTTAATTTTTACGGCTGTGGACCGACTTGTGCTTTCTGCACCGCATTTACCCTGAACCTCACCTCTCAGGCTGTTGGAACAGAACCATGGGGAAACCACAGAGAAAACCCATGATAGTACAGTCGGAACTGGGCTAAGTCTACAGTGATTGATAAGAAACTCTTCTTTATCGATCACCGGAACATTAGACCCCTCTCCTAGTGTGCAGAGATCCCTCGTGCTAGCCAACGCCGACTAGAGTGGTCACTCATTCAAGTTATTGCTTAAATGGGTGATCGCCCAAGTCAGACGTGTGCCACCCGGCTATCTCTGCCACATCCAGAGCTTGGCAGCAACGTAACTCACATATTTTTCCAATAATAACCACTGAAAAATATTGGTGCGTGCCGGGATCGAACCCCGGTCCCACACTTTCGAAATGCGGGTACCGAGCTGATCAAGCTACTGCCAGCCTTATACATATCTTCCTTAATAATAAAAGTAGTTTTTAATTCCAAAAATAAATAGAAAAGAAAGAAACAGAATAAAATTTGTAAGCTACGTGAATATTCAAATGAATTGAGGTGAACAAAAGGTTAAATTGACCGCGCAAACATGAGCTGCTTGCCAAAAAGTTGGTTTATTGTTTATGAAATGTAATTAACAAAGGTACTTTCGGTAATTAACAAAGGTACCTCACGTGTGCACGGGCAAAAATTTGAGAACCCTGAACTGCGCTTGATGATGCCCTCTGAATTTAAACTGTCTGCCTATGTGGTGTAATATATACAGCTTAGTAATTTTTCAATATTTTTAACCATATTACAAATAGTTTGGGAACATTTTAACTATGGCTTCACTTAATCCAGTCAAAATGAGATCAAGCAACCATATTACTAGAATGTTTAAGCTGCGCGCGTATATATGACACGAAAAATGCGCGCAAATGATTCACAAAAATATTAGAAAACACTCTGAAAGAAATTCTTTAATCAATTTGATTCTTTTAAAAATATCAATTATAAATTTTATTGTTTTCTTAAAAAATAAATGAGTGCTATGATGTGTGCACTTTTGAATTTTTCGAAATTTTTATACATTTTTCAGTTTAATATTATAGAACATTTCTTAATTCTTAAAATGCTAAATGCAAAATAAACACGCCAATTTTTCAAAATTAATTAACAATAATAACAATAGTTTAAAATTTTTGGATAGCTGAAAATAAACAAGTTGAAACAGTTCGTTACTAAGTCCTGGTTAATTGATTCCCTTCGCACTAACAACTACAGGCCAAACGTCGTAATTTAATCCAGAAGCCACCTTGCGCAGTAGTCAAAAAATATTTTGGCTCTATCTTCACCGGTTCAACCGTCCGAGAAGAAACTTCGATGACGTAGTTCTTCAAGATAATCGCCATCGCAGCTTTCACTTGAACAAAAGCCAAACGCTTACCAGGGCACTTCCGTGGGCCTTCCCCGAATCCCAAGTACATATGTTTGCGGTACCCTTCAGATCCCTTAGCAAATCGATCAGAATTGAACTCATTTGGATTCTGCCAATACTTCTCATCTCGATGAATTCCCACCGGCGAGATTAATACCACATCTCCAGGATCTAAAGCACAAGCAAGACCATCAGCTCCCTGAAGAGTGATGCTCTTAGTACATATTTTCTGCATGCTTGCAACGGGACTGAACAATCTGATTGCTTCTTGGATTATTTGATCCAGGTAAGTCATCTCATTGATGGCATCATAGCAAATACCAAATACTCTGATATTTATCCATCATTCTATCAACTTCTTTTTTTGCTTTAGTCTGAAATTTCGGATACTTGGATAGTAAGTAAGCTATTGAACTTAGAGTTAGACTAGAAGTTTCATAACCTTCGATGAAGAACAGAAAGGCGCAACACGCAACCACGTCACCATACTTGTTGTTAGCTTCATAATCGATAATTTGTTGCAAAATGTCATATTTTTTAAAATTTAAACTCTTTCTTAACTCTCGTATCTCGTTGACCACTTTTATAAATGTTACGTTCACCCATGAAGGAGCGAAGCCTATATTCAAAAGCTTGCCTACCAATGGCAGAGAAAAGAAAATGTTCTGTTTGATCCCAGTGATAACGTTAGTTTCGAACATAGCATCCATCATTGTGCGAAACGATTCCGGTAAGTGAAAATCATTGAATGCTTCTCCATCGACATTGAAAATCATATGGGCTGCTACCTGAGCCGTGAAATTAGAAAACAGATGTTTGGCATTAACATCAACTACGCTCTCTTTGTCAAACTTTTTGTCAATGAATTCAACTAATTTATCACATTCATACTTGGCTACCAGTGAGATGAACTTTAAATTCTTAGCCGAAAAGGCTTTTGAGAACAGCCCACGAATGTGTTTCCACTTCTCACCGTTCACGAAGGCCGGATCCATCTTCAACAGAGGATCCGCAAGAGTATTCACAGTCATGTGGTTGCTGAAACTTGCAAATTCTGTCTGTATCACTGTCTTCACCAGCTCCGGGTCTCTGATTAATAAGGCTGGTTGGTCAAAATCAAACAGTCCCACCATACTAACATCGAGATAGGCTTTGTAAGTTTCTTGTAATAAAGTAAACAAGTTTTTTTTCAACATCATAACATCCAGCATGTGACCGAATCCTAGTACTGCTCCTCTAGCTGTTGGTATCTTTCGGATATTCCAGTGATTGTAGTTACGGGTAAGATATTTGTACATGAGTACCAAGAATAGCACAACACCAATGTAAGAAATTACCCAAATCATATTTGCTAATTATAGAGTATACTTCACACACTTGTTGATATGTGTAAACTGATATTTTTTTTGCAGAAATGTTTGGAGTTTAGCATTTTCGTATTTTAAATATTTTATATGTAAGTTATAATGTTCACTTCACTGCATAAATATTTAATAAAATAAATAACTCAATTTCAGAATATAATCGCAGATCAACAATCATTCGATGTTATTTCAAATTTAATTGGTGTATAAAATTTTTAAAACAACAGCGGATAAAAGATTCATGGCCGAACGTAATTAATTACTGAATCGATAATTGTGAAAACAGAAATAGTTAATCAGTAATTTTGTCAGCAACATATACCCGTTCCTTAAATATTTAAAGTCTGCTTATTATCGATTTTTTATAATAAATATTTCAACGATAATCATACGCTTGAAATAATTTTTTGATGGGGTCAATTTTCAAATCTGGTCATTCAACAACTTTCTCGAACCTAGTTTAATAAATAATAGTTTAAAAAAACTAAAAACACGCTTTTTATAGAAAATCAAACTAAAAAATAGAAAATAAATTTTAATAAATTTAAATTAAGAATAGTGTTAAAAATTTCAATAAATATTAATTAATAATAGTGTGAATAAAAAAAAAATTATTTTATTT